TTATCTTGCCCACTTATGTTTTAACTTATTTACTGTGGGTCTCCTCTAGGCTCACCACCATTATTTAGGGAGGCCCCTGACAGTCCAACCCATTTCCTTCCCCATTCCTGACTGCATCCTCCACCATGAAGGACCCTCATACATGCTTGGGGATGTAGCCAGGCATTTGGTAGCCAGCTTGCCTACCAAATCTGCACCCAACACATCATCATACCTAAGAAGGCTGAGGCATGACACAGGAAAAAGAGAGCTGGTTGCAATTCACTTTGAAATTCATTTTAGAAAATAGATACATTTATGGCTGGATACAGGAATGGCAAAGTGGATAGATGTGTGACAAAGCAAGTACAGTTAGATGTAAACGGTAGAATATAGGTAGTAGGTATATAGGTGCTTTTTTCTTTTCAAGTTTTCTGTCTGTTTGAACATTTTCATCATACAAAGTCAAAAGAAACACAAAAATAATAGAACTGGTTTGGAAGTCAGGATCTATGATTGGATCCCAACTCTGTTACTCACTAACCATGTAACCTTGGGCAAATCCCAAATGCTGTGAGAATCAGTTTCCTTATACTAAAAATAGTTTGACTATGTATTAGTCAGGATTCTTTTGGTTGACAGTGATAGAAACCCATCTCAAACTAAGTGAGAGAGAGAAAGAGAGATGGGGGGTGGGGTGGGTGGGGTGGGTGGGGGGGTTGGAAGGAGAAATATTGATTGGCATGCGTAGCTGGAAGAGAAGGGGCTTCAAACCAGGCCATTTGAAATTTCTTCCCATCTCTTGACTCTACTTCTCTTCATGTGTTGGCCTTTGTTTTTTTTGACTTCAGATGGACTTTCTTCATGCAACAGATATTACCTCTTTTTAATTTAGTGGCCCCACATATAGAAATAAAAATACTCTTTCCATAAATCCTTGTATAATATTTCAGGGAATAATTTGGATTGGCCTGGCATGAGTCATGAGCCCAGACTTACAGCCCAGGGTATAGTATGTGATTAGCTAGGCCTGGATGGTATGCTCATACCTGGGCTATCTGGGCACTATACCTCGATGATCCAGCAAAGCTACATAATATGGGGGTGGGGGTCTGTCCCCAAGGTCCAAGAGACTGTTGCTACCAGGAAAGAAAAAGGAAGAGATGTTAGAGTGAGATGAAGAAACAGATGTCTATCACAGCCTGGGCTCTCTAAGGAATCTTTTAGCGCCAGTATTTTATAAGTGCTAATCAGACTGCCATGTACATAACAGATGCTCAGAAAATATTTGTTGAATGAAATAATATGTATATAAGCCATAAAATGATAAATTAAATGTTAGTAATATGAAAGTTCTTTCAAAATCAGCTAACTCCTTTATTTTATTAAAAAAAAAAAGAAGGAAAATGAGGCCCAAGGAGGTTAAACAATAATCCGAAGAACATATGGTTATTTCTACAAGTCAGTCATCTTGATCTCCCACACTGCCTCTCCATCTCTCTGTAAAACATTCTTATTTCAAAAAGATTTCCTTTGCTCCCAACTCTCAATAGATTAATCATCAGCTAATACTACCCCAAGCATAGTGATAGAAAAGAAAATAGAAGCTAAAATTCACAAAGAAAAAGAAAAGAAGGAAAAAAATCCACCTTTGTTTAATTGTTATTCTAATGAGTTAAACCCTGGATTCAGCACAGTCAGGCTATCTTACTAGAAAAGAAGACAGATCTATTGGCTGCCCCCACTGTCAGGCTTGCTGATAAAAGTGTGTTTATACAGCTGGATCTGTCCAGAAGGAGCCAGGGTTGAAAACATTCGGTTTTCACACTGATGACAGGCGACAGCTGGGAGCATCTGTTTCCCATTAGAGACACTAGGCTATGATAGTGCTGGCTGCAGCACTGGGTCCAGCTTCCCAGGGGGACACAGTGTGTTCCCGGGTCTCAAGGTGCTGACAGCCAGTTCACCTGCTAACACATCCATGGGTTAGATGGCTCCAGTAGGAGATTAGACGTCAAGCTCACAATTCAGATTGGGTGGGTGAAGTTATTTATGTTCAGCTCCTGAAGCATGCTTTAATTCTGTAGTAAAAACTATCAGAAAGAACAGCTCATTCATTTCCCTCTACTTAGCACAGAAGCTTACTGGAAGCCAAGATGGAACCTGGGTGTTCTTCAGGCCCAGTGAGTGCATTACCAGGATCTAATCAGGATGTTTGGGGAAGAGGCTGTGACAAATAGATGACTCCTCACTGCCATGGCTCGGGCATTGGAAAATCCAATCTACGATGAAGATTTCAAAGACAATGATCTCTATGGCGAGTCTATAGAGGATAATTATTCTATTTGGCCATTAACAGCCACTCAGTTTATTTACTCATGATAGGACAAACCTTCTGTAGCCGACTCTGTAGAAGAATATGATTATGAAGATCTGAAAGAATCTTCCAATTCTCTTTGGAACCATCAGCTAAGTGGAATTGATCAAGCTCATCTTCATTCATGGCTCAATCATATGAGAGAGGGGCTTGGAGATGCTGTGCCTGATGAAATATTGATTGAATCAGTTCTAAAGAACAAGTCTGATGTGCAGAAGGCTTTGTCAGTGGTTCAGGGACCAGATAACATGCAGAATTTAAAGGACAGGAGTGAGTGAGGGTACAATATTTATAGGAACAATAACAAAAGGAAAATAATAGGTTCCCAGTCATCTTGAAGTGAATCTGAAATTGTGCCAAAAGTTGCTAAAATGACTGAATCTGGAAAGAAGCAAGCTATGGGATTTGAAGTGCCTGGAGTAACTTCTGAAGAATATGGTTGTATTTTCTACACACCTCAAACAGGGCCACCTAATGAAGAAGCATTGCTTCTGCTGATGTTCTTGAGACCATTACTAAATCAGTACTTCCACCCCACACCATTCAAACAGTAAAAGATCAGAGTTCAGCACTAATACCAGCTGAGGCAGCAAATAGATGTCAAAGCAGAACTGGAGAAGCTGCAAGGAGGGAAGCAGCTATTTAACTTAGTGATCATTGGCAATGCCCTTTTTTCCTCTGGATTGATATTCACCTCTGATTTGTCCTGCCAAATGTCTGAGGGAAGGATAGGGAGTAACTTGTATAATTGAAAGAAAAATGAAAGAAGCAGGCTCCGGAAAAAGGCAAGTGCTGAAACAGCAATAGGGAAACTGGTAGCCATGACTGGATATACCAACTGCTTTTACCTTTTGTGTTATTCTTGTCAAGGTTCAAATTCCAGGCGTGGAGCACCTTTGGCTTAGCATGGGTCACTTGCTCACCTCTTGACCAGGTAAAAGTGGAGCATCCCGCCTGACAGTTCCACTAACACTCTATGCAAGCAGTGAGGGGCAGTTGCCAGAGTGAAGCGAGGTACTATTACCAAAATAAGAAGAAATTCAGGCTGGACAGGCAAAACAACAGCTGTCTACAATGGGTTTGTTTGAAGGGTTGCTGCAGTCCATCTGTCATTGAAATTTTCTTTTGTCCAAGTGGTAGGAAAAATTCTGAGATGGTCCACAGGATTTCCACCCTTGGTGTACCTACCCTGCATAATCCTTGGAAACTGAATATGATGGCTGTCACCCCTGAAACTTAGCTAATAATCAGTGACTTTGTGTTCATTAAAGGAGAGATTATCCTGGGGTGCCTGACCTAATCAGGCGAGTCCTTTAGACCAGCAGTCCCCAACCTTTTAGGCACCAGGAACCACTTTTAAGGAAGGCAATTTTTCCATGGAGGGGACACCAGGGAGGAGCAGGGGAGGTGGAGCTCAGGTGGTGATGAGGTGGCGAGTGGCTGTAGATACAGATGAAGCTCACTCACCTGCTGCTCACCTCTTGCTGTATGTCCTAGTTCCTAAATTCCATGGAAGATAATTTTTCTAAGAGTGGGGTATGGGGGAAGCCGAGGTTGGTGGTGAGGGGCAGAGCTCTGGGGCTCAGTTCCTACAAGCCACAGACCAATACAGACGGTGGCTTGGGGGTTGGGGACTGCAGCTATAGATTATGGAAAAGTCACAGAGGCTTGCTCATACTGACCTTGAAGAATATGAAAGCTGCCAGGAGTTCTATAGCTTCAAGTACCTGAAGTCTGTCAATCAAGCTCTGAATGAGCTTGAACAATGGCTCTGAGCATCTAATGAGATGGCAAGCCTGGCTGACACCTTGATTGTAGCTTTCTGAGACCTGAGCAGAAACCAGGGCACTTGACCTACAGAAACTGTGAGATACTAAATTTGTGTTATTTTAAGTAGGTAAGTTTGTTATAACTTATCACACAATAAATGAAAACTATTATTAATATACTTCACTATTATTATGCAACATTTCTGACAAATGTGTTAAAGGAATAGCATTTTCCAGCAATAGCAAACAGAGGGAGGATCCCAGAGAACCACAACAGAGGGGGCTTAGGGCACAAGAATCACGAAGCAGCAGCCATTGTTATTTGAGATAAGGGAAGCAGTTCCTCAGCTGGTTGCTCTTTGGGATATGGGAGAGATGGGAACAGGAAGAGGAGGGCAACCAGATTTTTGCTGAAGGAGATTTACTAGTAGAGATCATTCATATTTAACATGTTGAGTGAATTGATTAGATAGAAAACTTTTCATTCTTAATATTTCAAAGGACCTTAGAGCTATTGCACCCAGCTTAGAAATTTGAAAAATTGGGTCTGAAGGCAGGTTACATAGAATTTTGTTACTTTTACTTCAATAGCGTTAAGCCACTAGAATATGGCAAGTGTGTCTGGGTGGAGTATCCAAGATAAAGGTGTGCAGAGTAACACGGAAAGGTGATTATTATAATGTGGCTACATTCTGGGAAAACATTGTCCAAGAAATGGAAGGGAGCATGTCTGTGTATTTTGGAAACCTTAACATTTTTTTCTTTTATACTAGCCTGTTTCAATTGCTGTGTAAAGAATCACTCCAAATTTAAGGGCAAAAAAGAAAAACCATTTTATTATACTCATGGATTCTGTGGGTGATGAATTGGGAAAGGGAACAGTGGAGATGGTTTGTGTCTATTCCCCAATGCCTGAGGCAAACTTTCTGGCACCACATAACAAGGCTACCCTTTCTCCTGTTTCCAATAACATCTTCCTTAGCTCCCTTTAAGCCCACGTTGGCAGCATCCTCAAAGCTGTTTAGACTTCTTCACCTAGTCCTAAAAGCCAATGTCACATGTTTTACTTTTATTATGTTATTATGTAATGTTTTGTTATAATATTCATCCCACTTCCAGGTAACAAAATCTGTTCCAGTTACTATTGCTATGTGATGATAAACTGTTGCTATTACTATGTAATAACCTTTTCCTCCTCCATCCTCCTTCAGAAGTGTCAGTGGTAGAAAAGTAACAAAGAAAAAAAGCCCCAAGTTACCTAATAAAACCACACAAGCTACATTTATAATAACTGTATCAGTAGTTTTCTATCTTTTTGGTCTCAGGACACTGTTATAATCCTAAAAATTCTAGAGAGCCCTCCAAAGCTTTTGTTTATGTGGATTATATCTATGAATATTTACTACATTAAAACTTAAAATTGAAAAAAAATAAATCATTGCATGCTAATATAAATAACACATTTTAATGAAGAATAAATAATATTTTTCAAAAGTAAAAAAGTATGGTAAGAAGAGTGTTATCTTTTGCACTATTGCAAATCCCTTTTATATCTGGCTTAAAGAAGTCAGATGGAATCTTATTTCTGCTTCTGCATTCAATTTGATGTGATATGTCTGTGTTGGTTGAAGTATAAAGAAAATCTATTTTCACACAGATTGTAAGTAGAAAATGGAGTGTTTTAATAGCCTTATCAAATAATTATGAATATTCTTCTTTGATACTATTAATACACCCAAACTTGACCAGTGGTGGTTTCTTAAAGGTTAGTTGCACCATGAAATTTGAAATCCTACATATGAACTTTTTGTACATTTTATACTCATGAGATAATGAAAAATGTAAATAAACACATTAGTATTATTGTAAAATAACAGTTTAACACCAATGACCCCCTGAAATGGTCTGGGGACCCCATAGGAAACTCTGGACCACAGTTTGAGGACTGTTTCATTGTATGTTTATTTATATGTTTATGTATATGTCTCTCATCTAAATGGTACATTGTCTGAGAACAAATTTTGCTTCTTTTTTCTTTATACTGTGTATATATATGTATACCTGTGGCTGGTACTAGCTGGGCTCCTTGGCAGTCCCATCTTGGGAGTTGACTTTGTCTGGCTTCTGGGATTGACTGATGGCTGATTCTTTTGATCCCTGGATTTTCCTTTTGAGCCTTCATTTTTCCAGCATCTCCCATTATTGTGAAAAGTCTAACTATCTGTTGAATAAATAAATGCTCATATAGGCAATTCACATCCTAATTATATAATGCTAATTTATTTTCCAAATTTTAATAAGTTACTCCCAGAACAAACTGGATGTTTTTGGTTTGTTAAATACTTGCATGCCTTTTATTTGAGAAAGACTTTTGAGTCTTTGCATATTTCATAGTAACAGGTCTGCATTTAATTTTCTTTCTTTTAAAACTAACATTTATTGATTACTTACTATGGACTTGATACTTTTTAAGTGGCAGAGCTATGAACTCATATTTTCTTGGATCTAGAATCCTTTCTCTTAACCTCTACAGTATTGTGCCTATTTTTTGTTGACTTAAGCATTAAGCACTGTTTAAGAAATTCAAACGACTTACTTTAATATAGATCCCTATAGTCCCTTTCAAATCTAAAATTCCATTTTTTTTTTTTTTTTGAGACAGAGTCTCACTTTGTTGCCCAGGCTAGAGTGAGTGCCGTGGCGTCAGCCTGGCTCACAGCAACCTCAATCTCCGGGGCTCAGCGATCCTACTGCCTCAGCCCCGAGTAGCTGGGACTACAGGCATGCGCACCATGCCTGCTAATTTTTTGTATATATATTTTTAGTTGGTCAATTAATTTATTTCTATTTTTGGTAGAGACGGGGTCTCGCTCAGGCTGGTTTCGAACTCCTGACCTTGAGCAATCCGCCCGCCTCGGCCTTCCAAAGTGCTAGGATTACAGGCGTGAGCCACCACGCCCGGCTCTAAAATTCATTTTTTATAGATAAATTTCACCATATTTTTTGTTTTTTACCTTTTTATTTTTTGCTCATAGAGAATAATATTACCAGAAAAATGCACTGAACAATACAAAAATCATTAAATATGGATTTGGGATTACTATTAATAGCAGTTGAGATATCTTTTCTTTACAATTAACACATATTTTTATCTAGGAATTCCAGAGTGGGAATCAGTTCCAGGGACTCATTCCCATCTCAGCCCCAAACTGCCTTCCTGGCTTTTTCTCTTGATTGCTGCAAAGCTCAAATTCTTAGTTGCTTCTCTCTTTTCTGAGGAGCTTCCTTCATCATCCTCCCCATCCCATCTCTACAACTTGGCTAAGGAGAAAATCCCTCTAGCTCAGTGGTTCTCAAATTTTAGATGCATCAAAAAGTCGCCTGTAGGACTTGTTAAAACAGATTGTTGGCTTTCAAATCCAAGTGTCTGATTTAGTTAAGTCTGAGGTGGGGCCTAAAGGAGTTGCATTTTTAGTAAGAACTCAGGTGACCATGCTAAAGCTTGGTGGTCTGGGGACTGCACTTTGAAAAATACTCTTCCTTCCAATTGCTGCTTTCCCAAGACAGGCTTAAAGGTGGTTACATGTCAAAAGATTTATGCTAATAGTTACCAGGAAACATTAAAGGGATTCTATAAATGTTACCACACGTTGGTCTGAGCTCCTAGATGGCAAAAGTAAGGCCGCCCACACTTCCCTTTCCACCAGGGCAAGGCTGGTCCCCACCTCCTACATGCAATCCAGGCAGATAGGTTTCCCTACCGTATAGGGAGGCTGTAAGGATTGAACGAAACTAAATTCTTAAGCGACACCTCATTAAGTGATGGCCAATTTCATTTCATATCGTACCACAGCATTATGCAGCTGCTCACTCAGAAAGTCACATCCTGTAGGCTCACTGAGCGCGGGATGGTGAGAGATAGGTAACAGCGCCTGCGCAGCTCACAACGCAGCCTCAGGTGAAGTTCGCGCTGCACCTCTGAGGCCAAATGAACCGCTCTGGAGCAGAGGGCGGAGTCAGAGCACTTCGTGGGCGTCTGCTTCCGGACACGTGGCACCGTGAGCGACCAATGGGAAGACTAAAGTCAACCCCGCTTCCTCACCCTGGCAACGGGCGGGTGACTACTTCCGGTGCAGTGAGGGCTCGGGGCTGACGCGGGTGAGTGTCCCTCTTTCTCACGCTGTCCGCGCCGCCGCCGCTACCGCGCCGCCGCCTCTCTGTGAACCCCTTACGCTCCCTGGGACGTCCTCTCCGGGGCCGAGAGGGGGCGACGCGAAGGACGCCCCCTGCCCAGGACGGGGGTAAAGGAGGGGGCCTGCGACGTCCCTCATATGCTGGTCTTGGTCGCGCGTGGGGGCCGCGCCAGCCCCTTTCCCAGCCTAATCTCCGGCTTTGCGGCCTCATGGCTTTTCCGGGGACAGGGTTGAGGACTGTCCGTGTGTGGGGTGTTCTCTCAGTCCTTCACCCACTTTGCAGTCGCGCGCTGGAGGCGTCTCCGAGTTCGAGGCTCGCGCAGACCCGAGAGTGTGCGTCCTAGTGCTGGGTGGCGGGCTAGGGTTAGGGCAGCCCCGTAGTGTAATAGAGGCCTGGTTAGGGTCCCATGGGACGTTAGTATTCCCTACTCAGGCGGCGGCCCCAGAGGAGGAAGGGACGGTGAAGATGAAGCAGCTGGAGAGGAGGGTGAAAAGCCGGAGCTGGAGATGCCCTGGAAATAGAGGGCATCGTGTTTCCGGAAGGAGGGAGTTCAACATGATGTGCTTCTGTAGGGGAGGGGAAGGGAAGGTATTTTGGGGACTATGTGACTGAGATGGTTGAATAATAAGCTTAGGAATTTTTACTAATATACTTTGGAGTTTAATCTGTGTTTTTGCTTGTTATGAATAAAGCCTTTTCCCCACCACTTACAAAAAGCAGTGCTTATTAAAGAATATCTGAAAAATGCAGAGATATTTAAAAAAGAGATCATCTATACTTCCTCCAACCCAGCATTTTAATCTTTCTAGTCTTTTATGCATTTTAACCTATTTATAGTCATAGTGTGTGTGTAAAATATGGTTATAGCTAAAAAGCACAGTTTGTGTACATTTCATCCGTTACACGGATAGGTTGTTGTTTTTTTCTTACTGAGATATTGACATACCATAACATCTTTTTACATTGTAAATCTCTGGTTTTTTGTATATTTACAAAATTGTGCACCTATCTAATTCCAGAACATTTTCATCACCCCTCCCCCAAGAAATTCTGTACCCATTACAGTCACTCTTCATTAGATTATCCCTTCTTGCCCATATAGGCCTTGCAATTACTCATCTACTTCCTGTGCCTATGGATTTTCTTGTTCTGGACGTTTCACGTAAAGGGGATTGATCATATAATATATGGCCTTTTGTGTCTGGTCTCTTTTAGTTAACATGATGTTTTCAAAGTCTGTGTATCAGTATTTCTTTTTCATGGACAAATAATGTTCCCATCGTGTGAATATAAAACATTTTGTTTATCAGTTGGTGAAAACTTGCGTTTCCACTTTTTGACTATTTTGAATAATTCTATAAACATCTGTGTGCAAGTTTTTGTGTGGACGTATGTTTTTAATTCTCTTGGGTATATACCTAGAAGTGTAATTGTTGGATCATACAGTAACTTTTTGAGGAAGTGCCAGATGTTTTCCAAATTGGCTGTACCATTTTACATTCCCACCAGCAGGTTATGAGGGGTCTGATTTCTCCATATCCTTGTAACACTTATCTGTCTTTTTGATTAAAGCCATCTTAGTGCTTACAAAGTGTTAGCTCCAGTGTAGTTTTGATTTGCATTTCCTTGATCGCTAATAATGTTGAGCATGTTTTCATGTGCTTGTTGGACGTTTGTGTATCTTTGGTGAAATATCTGTTCAATTCCTTTGCCCATTTTAAATTTGTGTTGTCTTTGTTTGGGGGATGGACAAGCTTGAAGCTCTTACGTGAGGGATTGTGGGGGGGCATGGGCAATATATGTAACCATAACACTTGTACCCCCATAATCTAAAATAAAAAAAATTGTGTTGTCTTATATAAAGTATGAGTTTCTATATTCTGGATATGAATGTCTCTTATCAGATATATGATTTGTAATATTCAGTTTTCTCTCATTTTATTGGTTGTCTTTTTACCTTCTTGAACGATATCCTTTGAGGAATAAAAATTTAAAATTCTGCTGAAGTCCAATTTATCTGTTTTTTTCTGTGCTTGTGCTTTGGTGTCATATCTAAGAAACCATTGCCAAAGCCAAGGTTACAAAATCCTATGTTTCCTTTTAAGAATTTTATAGCTTTAGCTCTTACATTTAAGTCTTTGATCTACTTAGTTTTTGTATATGGTGTGAGGTAGCAGTCCAACATTATTCTTTTGCATGTGGATACCCAGTTTTTCCAGCACTATTTGTTGAAAAGACTGTCCTTTTCACATTGAATGGTATTGGCATCCTTGTTGAAAGTCAATTGACCATAGATGTATAGGTTATTGTTTTCTTGACCGTTTCTCTGTGTTGGACATTTCAGTCACTTGCAGATTTTTATTATTCTGAATTATCCTGTGTTAAACACAGCATAAAACCTTTTCTCCATGTTATGCTATTTTTGTAGACAGTTTTCTCAGAAGTGGAATTACTGGGTCAAAGATGAATTTAAGTATGTTTTGGAGCTCATTTAATGAGGCGTTAAACCTTCACTGTCCTGATTTTAAAAGCAACAACAGAGTTCTTTGTTCATGAGTTGTTATAGCTTAAGGGCTGAATTTCTGTCAACACCTTTTGCTGTAACATGAATGACTTTCATGACTTCCTCCTTCAACTGCTTCTGAAAGACTGAGTAAACCTAGAGTGAAAACATCAACATGACACAACAGGAAATGTAGTTTTCTAAATTGTTTAAAGAAAAAAATAGTGTCATTACATACAGTAGGAAAATAAAGCAATCTTTGAGAACGATGATGTCAAAATTTAGACCTTGAATTAGTGCCCTGAAAGTTCCTGCAGTAAAAACAATATTCTGAGCTTCTCTCCTGGCCTTGATAATCAAATTAATTTACATTCATTTTGGTCTAAAGATGATGAACTTAAATCATTTCTTTTTAGTAGATAGTGCCAAGTAAAAAAATCAAATACAAAAGGTTATTAGAAAATCAAGTTTCCCTTTCATCTTTGCCCCTCAATCTCCCTGTTCACCTTAGAGGAATCCATGGTGCTGTTAACTTGTGTTTATGTAGACTAGTTCATGCACAGAGTATCTCTGGAAAGATAGTATGTATATACAAAATTATACACTTTAAGGCTCTTGATACTGACAAATTCCTTTTCAAAATGGTTACATCAGTTTATAGTGCTAGTACAGTGCTAGTTAGAAAAATTTCACTTTTGTTTGTGTTTCTTTGAATATTCTTTCCTTAATATTGGACATCTAGTTTCTATTTCCTTTTTTATATGTATTGCTTGCTCATGTCTTTTGGCATGCTGTTTGTTTTGGTTGGAGTTGCCCTTTATGAGCTTTATTTTGGCAGCCTTTTTTAGATGGTTGTTTTACGATAGCTTGGATTTGGTGAGAAAAGTTAAAATGCTTTTTGTAGCATGCTAAGACAAAGATTATGGGCAGAACAAGAGTTGAGGAAAAGGAAGTAAAATGCTTGAGAGAGAAATCTATGGGATTTGGAAACTTGGGGGCTGTCCAAAATGCAAGGTGAGTTAGAAAAGGGTAGCACTATTAAGAAATAGGAGTAATGTGGAAAGAACTAGATTTTTGGGGAAAGATGAGCTTGTTTTAGGTAGGCTAAGTGCAAAGAGGATCCAGATTGAGCTGTCCAAAAAACTTGTGGCTATAGCGCAAGACAGAAGACAGAGAGTTAGGAATGAATCATCTAATTTGCTGAGAGGATAGGTTTGAGAAATTAGCAGTAGATGAAATTGCCAAAGAAGACATCTGAGAAATGGAGTCAAGGGATCATGAAGGGATTGGAGAGTAGATTGGTATGTTTGCCAAGGAGAGCAGGTAATCTAGAGCTGCGCTCTCTAACGCCCAGGCTGCAAACTGGTACTGGTCCATGACCTGTTAGGAACTGGTGGCACAGCAGGAGGTATGCAGTGGCATTATCTGTATTTACAGCCCCTCTCCATTGCTTGGATCTCCAAATAAGCTCCACCTCCTGTCATGGGTGGGGTGGGGGTGGCATTAGGTTCTTGTAGGAGCCTGACCCCTACTGTAAACTGTGCCCCTGCGTCTGAGGGATCTAGGTTGGGCGCTGCTTATAAGACTGTTATGCTCGATGTTCTGAGGTGGAGCTGTAGCAGTGATGCTAGCGCTGGGGAGTGAGTGGATGCAAATACAGATTATCCTTAGCAAAGAGGTTTGACTGCATGATAAATATAATGCCCTTGAGTCATCCTGAAACCATCTCCACCATCTCCTGTCCCTGAAAAGATTGTTTTCTATGAAACTGGTCCTTGGTGCCAAAAAGATAAGTTGGGGACTGCTGATCTAGACAATCAAAAGGTTGCAAGCAGATTAAGAAAAGGCCATAGGGTTTAGTAACTTGGAAAAGATACAAGTTGTGGGAAGCAAGAAGTTTTTTCAAAAACAGCTTTATTAAAATATAATTCATGTATCAGACAATTTACCCATTTCAAGTGTTCAATTCAGTGGTATTTATTATGTTCAGAGTTTAGCAACCATCACCACAATCAATTTTAGAACATTTTTATTATCACAGAAAAAAACCTCTGCCCCTGTTAGTCACTCCCCATTCCTATCCCACTTCCTCAACCCCTGTCTCTCCAGCCCTAAGCAATCACTAATCCACTGTCTGTCTCTGTAGACTTGCCTAGTCTGGACATTTTGTATAAATGGAATCATAAAATATGTGGCCTTTTGCGTCTGGCTTTTTCATTGTTTCCAGTTTTCTTTCATGCCCTAGTATGTAATAGTACTTCATTTCTTTTTAT